GAGCTCTCCTGTGCAGAGCCAAGGTCCAAGTGCCCCTGCAGTAGGAACCACAGCTCATCGGCTTTGTGTCCTTTGGGCTCAGGGCCTGGTGACACTCAGAGGCACAGAAAGGTTTCTTGCCCAGAAACACAAGTTGAACATGATGCAGTTTAATAACCATCACAGCTCTTCCCTCAGCTCTCTGTGATGTCCCAGCAGCATCTGACATGTCTCCCATCCTCCAGGGATTTCCATACAGGAACAGTTTTAGACAAGGACATAAGAAAATGTCATTCTGTGATAGATATAAACACAATTAAGATGATGATTAATTATATATTAATTTGAGCTTCAGAAACATTGGGCAAGTCCTTGAAGCTCAAAGTATGAAACCAGTCAGCTGAGAGGCACATGAATGACCAGAGAGCATCTGGGGGAGGAAATCTAGGAGCAATGGGAAGGTCATCGATCCAGCTGCTCTAGTGAAGAGATGTCTTTAGACATGGCCATTTAAACAGGAGAGCTGGAAATGCCTGAAGGAAGAGGGGGAGTGTGAAAACACCAATCACTTGTTTTTAAAATTTTTAAAAGTTTAATAGTAATAAAATGGTTATAAAAATAGTAATATAATTAGAGTAATAAAATTTGAACAATTGAGATTAGGACAATATGAGACAATAAAAACAAAGAGATACAGATGTCTGGGTACCTTTTTCTGGGCATCACAAGCCCGAAAAAGGACCCCCGTTAACAGAGGATTAACTTAAAAACCATTGCCTGTTTCATATTCATACATCTCATACATGATGCATAAAATCCATTCAAACACAGGATTCTGTCTGGTCACTGTCAACTTCTTCCTCTGAATCCTCATGCCGTCTTCCTGTCTGAGCGAGGTGGGAAGAAGTTAGTTTTCTGCTGATAAGGGAGCAATCAATTCCCTTTCTCTGAAAGATTTAGGTGTCCTGTGGCTTCTATCTGGTGCTAGTCCTTTCTTAAACAAATATCTTACATAGCATAGTTTCTATTTTAACATTATGCTATAACCTAAAACTATATTTAATACACTACTTTAGAAAATTAATACAGCATAACTTTCTAACATAACACATACAATATTCATTTCAATACTTGCGAAAAGCCAATCATAAAATACACATTTTTCACAGAGAGGAAATAATAGAATGAATATTGGTGACATAAATAGAGGGGAAGATCAGTATTTCTTCTGCCATCAGCACACTTCCAGGAAATTCCTATTCTTTGCACTTCTGGCCATTTCTTAAAAATACTCAAATGACCCAGATAAAATATAAAATATAAAATACCCATAAAAATGTATATTATGAAATCAACAGGTGTTAATACATGTGCCCCATTCCAGGCAGACATCAGCTGTGTGCCCATGAACAGGCCGTGCCACTTGTGCCCTGAGGTGCCCAGCTGGGATTGGATCTCTCCGAGAGCACCTGAGGGAGAGCAGAGCACCTTGCAAGCTGCAGGTCCCTGACAGCCCCGCAGGGCTCCTGTGCCATCACCATCTGCTCTGCTCCAGCCTGAAACAGGGCCCAGCATGGTGCCGGGATCATCAGAGAGCTGAGGTGTGTGCTGAAATTCCATGCCCTCCCCATGCCGCAGCAGCCCTGCAGTTCCCTCCTGCAGCCTTGGTCTCCAGCACAGCCATGGAGGCTCTTTGGGCTCCTGACTGTTCTGCAGCCCCCAAGGGCAGCCGAGCTCTGCCTGTGGCAGCGGGGTTTTTTGAGGTTGTTTGGTCTGCTGTTGCAGTGGGTTTGAGTATGTTTGGTCTTTCCCCGTCTGGTTGGAATGGCAGTTTGAAGATGTTTAGTCTATGTTTGCCTCCTGTCTCGCCATGGCAGTTGGAGTGGTTTTTTTGCCCCTAGCCTGTTAAGTTCCCCGTCTCTTAATGGTTTCTCTCTTTGCTATGAGTTTATGCCTTTCCCGTCTTAGCTTCTGACCTTCCCCCCCGCCCACTGATTTCCTGCTCTCTCTTACATAAAAACTGCTGTTTTCTCTGCCTCCCCGCTCTCTACCACTGTCTGCCCTTGGATCTGCACGGCTCCCGCGCTCTGCCGGATCCTGTGCCCCGGCGGCTCCCCCTCCGCAGCCAGTACCCCTCTCGGCCGCGGGAAAGGAGGTCGCCCCCCGCGGCCGCGGCTCCTGGTGAGAGGGGATTGCCCACACGAGCACTGCTGCTGCCAGCGCCGTGCGGCCACCGCCGCCAGGAGAGAGACTGTCACCGCCCTGAATAGAGACAGACTGTCACCGCCACACCTGCCGCTGCCTGCAAGTGCTGCGCCATCTGACTCACATCGGCGCTGCTGCCACCGTGGGAAAGAACAGCTCCTGTGCCACGCTGCCGATTCCAAGCTGTGCCACCCCGGCAGCACCATCCTCGCGTGGGAGAGAAATAAAGCATCTCGGAGATGCCAGCACAAGGTCCTTGCTTATTTCCTTCATCACAGTGCTTTGACGTTGAGCCTGCGTTTCGAGCAGCCAAGCTGTGACCCTGCCGGCCGGCAGCAGAGGTAGGGCACGGCCGCTCCTGGCACCTGCCCCAATCACCTCCAGCGACTGGGGCACGCTGGTGCACGGGGCAGCTGTCTCCAGGGTGCATGGACGCCCCTGCCAAGTGAAGTTTGTGGTCCGTCAAGCGCCGCCGGTGAATTCGCACACTTAACTAGAAAATAGTCTCAGTCTGAGTATTCTAGTGGCCGGGACAGACCCGACTAGGGTACAGTGGGGTACAGCGAGACTGTTTGCTAGGGAGAAGGAAGTTTATAATTAAGTTGTGGATTCCTTGCTGGGAGGAGGGTTTTGTTTCTCTAAGGGAAAAGTTAAGAGATTTGTTAAGTGGATTTTCTTTCATTTTCCAGCTACTGTGAGATACAAAGTTGTGTTTCATGTGGGTACCACGTTTGGTGGACGGGGGGTGCCCCCTTTCTCCAAAACAGCCCTTGGCCAGTCAGAGAGCACTGAGGTGATGACTTCCAAGTGTTCAGGCAGACACACTGTACACAGAGCTTTCAAAGACACTTAGCCAATCAGAACTCAGTTTCATTCTGACTCATCAGATGCCAAGGAGACAGGCAGTGTCCAGACCCGACCTCCCCCCGCCAAATTTCTAGCCAATCAGAGCTTTTCTCGCTGATGACTCCCCAGATGCCAGACAGATCCGCACCACCCGGCGCTCTGCTCCCAAACTTCATCTACGTCCCCACCTAGCCCCCAGTGCCCCCCGAGAGCGGAATTTGGGGAGGAGGGAGGTGGGCGGCGCCCAGACCGAGCCCTCCCGTGTTGTCCCGGCAGCGGCCCGGCCCTGCCTGGGCACAGCTGATGGCGCCCGCCCACGCTCCGGCTAGTCCAGACTGGTGCTCCCAGTGCTGCGCGGGCGGGCTCGTTTTGGGGCCCCCCAACCCGGGCACAGCGCGGCTGCTTTGGGGCTGTTGGCACCGTCCGGCAGTGGGGATGGGGCGCATGGGGGCAGCTGGGGGGTGCTGGTGGCACTGGTGGTGCTGGGAGCCTAGCGGAGGGGGAAGGAGAGCGGGAACTGGGAGAGGGGATGAGGGGAGTGCAGGACTTAGGACTTCAAATTTAGCAAAAGGCAGGATTGGACGCCCAAAAAGAACAGGAGGGGGCTGGGACCCCAAAAAAACCAGTGACGGGTGAGGGGGATTGAGGACTGGGTGGACGATTGGAAAGGGAAGAAGAGGCGCCAAAAGATGGGGCTGGGATCCCCTGATACCGAAATTCGCCAGAATAAGCTTTCTAACACAATTTGAAGCATCAGAAAGCAGGCAGTCTTTATCTGTGCAGGGCACAGAGGAGGATACTTCTTTATTGACTGTGTGTCTCGAGACTTTACAACAACGCATTCATTCCATCACGATAAGACATATGCATTAAAACATGTTTATTATCTAATACGTAAACATCACTTTCCTAGAACTATTTTGCATGCATCCTCCTCCTGGAAGGCCATGTATGGTCCTGAAGGGTCAGCTAAAGGGGTCTTTGGTGGTCGTGTTCACTGAGTGCTTCAATATAAAAGGTGACCTTGCCTTGAACTTTTTCTGTGAGCATGTGCTGTTGCTTCTTTGTTACATGACTTGCAAAAAAACAAAAACCCTGTAGTCCTTTCTATCTGTTTCTCCAGTGGTTCCGCTTATGTTTATCATCCTGTGTAAATACTTTAACGTTCTTTTATCTTATTTGCTAGTTAGTCTTTAAGCTCTATTCTGCAACTTTAGGGGAACTGAGAATTTCTATTCTCTCTGTTATTTATCAGGACCACCCCACAGCACAGCCCTGCTCTGGGGTGTCAGCTCCTGCCCAGCATTGGGGATGGGGTGTGTGGGCAGAGCTGGGTGCCGTGTTGGTGGCACTGGTGGTACTGGGAGCCTGCCCATCCATGGGGTGAGCAAGGGGCATGGGAGGGCGAGAGAGGGGAAGAGGGCTTGGGACTCCCAGCTGAGCAAAAGGGGAGGTGAGATGCCCAAACTGAACAGGATGGGGCTGGGACTCCCAAAAGTAAGCACGGGGGAGGTGGGTTGAGAACTCGGTGGACGATGGGAAAGGGAGGAAAAGAGGGGGCTGGGATCCCCAAACAGAGGGGGAGGGGGATGGGACACACAAGTTGAGTTTGGCGAGGTCAGTGGATTGGTGGGAACGATGGAAAAGGAGGCGAAGAGGGAGGGAAAAGGTGAAGCTGGAATGGAAGAAGGGCAGTTCCATGGGTGTCCACCCTTATCGCTCACCACTTAAGCCCTGGAGTGAATCCCTGGGGCTCAGGGTGGGGAGTGAAGGTGCAGATCTGCACTGAGGGGATTTCTCCCTGCGTCTATTCCCGGTAGGGTTCCCCCCCACCCATCACCCAGGGCTATGGCGCTGTGGGGCAGAGGTGATGGGAAAAAAACGGGAGGAAGAAAGAGAGAGAGAGAGAGAGAGAAGGAGGAGGAGCAGGAAGAGGAGGAGCATGAAAAGGAGCAGAAGGAGAAGCGGGAGGGATACTGTTCGCTGTGTCCACAATCCCCCCGGCCCCAAGAGCATCGCACCCCCTACATCCCTCAGGTGACTGGGGAAGGGGAGTTTGACCCAAATTTATTAGGGGGTCTCTGGCAGGGATTTCTTTGGAGGGGTGTTTGGAGCTTGCAGATTCTGGAATCAAGCCCCAGGTATCTGCATTTCTGGCACATTTTCTTGGGGGGATAGGGGTGTGTTTGAAACTTGCAGAACTCCAGAGATGAGCCTCGAGTGCCCCTTGTGGGGACATTGTGGGGGGTCCATGTCGCGATCGTCCAGTAGTGGCGGGGCAGGACATCAGTTCGGGGAATCCTCGGGAGAACCAGGGGAGTGTAACATGGGACCCCTGGAGTGGGGAAAGTGGAGAGGGGTGATACCGGGGTTGGAGGACCCCCAGCAGCCTGGAGGGGTGGGGGAACACAGAGATGAGGGAAAGTGAGGACGCCCTACCCTGAAAGGGATAGGAGGGAGAGGGAGGAGCCCCAAATGCCTGGAGTGAGGGGGTCTGAAGAGGGCGACCCTGGGACTACCTGAGAGCTGAAGCAGAATCAAGGGAAAAGGAAACCCGAACCCCCCAGGATCCCTAAGCTGGACTCCAAAGAGGGGAGATCACCAGGATCCATGGGGACCCCAGAACTCCAAAGGAGGGAGACCGGCTAGGGGGAACTCCTGGGAAGGGTTTTTTGATTGATCCAGGGGGATGTGGAGCAGCATGAAGTGACCATTATCCCCATCTGGTTCTCTTGCACCACTGGGAGGGAACTGGGGATAAAATGAAGCCTGGGAAGGAGGGAGGGGTGGGGGGAATGAATTTTACTAGGATGTAGTTTAATTCTCATTCTTTTGTTGTAGTTTGACTGGACATAAATTCAAATAATTTTCCCCAAGCCAGCTCTGTCGTGCCCATGGCAGTGCCAGGGGAGTACCCTCTCTCTGCCCTGATCTGGGCATGAACCGTTCTTTGGGTGTTCTCTGACTGTCTGGGGCAGAAAGACACTGCCCGGAGCAGCCTTGGTGGCATCAGGCACCCAGCCAGACTCAAAACATTACATGTGGCAGACTGGGAATGTTAAACATAAAGCTTAAAGCAAACAAGAGTTTCTGGAGGGTATTCTCCACCCCTCTGCCTTTCCTGGGAGCCATAGGGCAACAGACTGGGCACCCCTCCAAACTGCTGGAGCACAGCCGAGTGCTCAGATTGTGACTGAACTCTTTGCCCTCATTCCCAGTGTGTGATGGTACTTAAGCAGCCTTAGGAATCTGTTTCCAGTCTCCATGAGCTTGGCTGTGAGGGTGAGTTCTGGAAAAGCAGCTTCTCTATATAAACCTCAGGGCTGGTTGAGTTGGCACTGGCTGGAAAGATGCCAGGGATGGGATGGAGCTGAACACCCAGATCATGGCTTCATCTTCAGGGGGATTGAAATAACCAACTGATGAAATAAATGTAGCAAATTAAAGAGAGAGGAGAATAAAACCTCAAACTCATTACTTTACAGCTGGTTTTATTGAAGCTTTTGCCACCATGGGGTTGGTTTGAGTGTCTGGATGTTGTTTTTAGGTGAGTTCTAGTTTTTGCTGCCTTGTAAATGGTTTTCAGTGATTTTATTGTTGGTTTTTTTTTTTGGTTTTTTTTTTTTTTTCAGCCTCTTCTAGCTCTTACAGCAGTGCTTTTGTGGTGGGTTAGTATTTGGGGGCCCTCAGACCCCTTGATGCAACCTCAGGTGAGCAAAACAACCCTGAGCAGACACAGGTGTGTTGTCCCTGCACTGCTGCAGGGGGGAAGACTCCCAGCCCCAGCACCACTTCTGCCCTCCCCAGCTCTGCTCCCTCTTGCCCCTGTGCAGGTATGAGGGGGGAGAGGAAAAACCTGCATCATTATTCTGCTTCCAGTCCAGAGGCAGTTTATTTAAACTCTTGTTCTGGAAGGGAGTTGGAGCCTTTCTGTGGAGCAGAGGCTGTGTCCAGGAGTGGGAAATGTCTCTGTATGGGGAAGGCTGGTAGGTTCCATTGCCCCTACATCATCCATGGCACTTGTGGCCTGTGGGTGAAGGGGCCAGAGGTGCCCCTAGGAGGGGGTTTGTGACCTGATGCCTCCCCACTCTGCAGAAATTCCTGAAGCAGCTGCTTTGATCCAAAACAGGTGTGTGAGTGGGTGGGACTCAAGAAATCTGGGAGAGAAGAAATGAGAGGAAAAGCTTGGAGGGAGAGAAACTTCTGTGCCTCCATCCCGCTTTCCCACCTCTTCCTGCCCCACCAGTTTTTCACTCCAAAATTCCCCAAGCTGCAGCGTGGAGCAGGAGGAATTGGGGGGTTGGAGACAGTAACAAAACACCACATCAATTAAACCAAAATTCAAGCATTTGGAGGGGATAAAAAAATCCTTTTGGATGTCTTACCTTTGTAGACACAGGCAGGTGGTTCTCATATGGAAAATATTTACCCAGGGGAAGTGCCAGGTGCAGGGGCTGGTAATAATTTAATTTACAGTGATGTCAAAACATCTGCTGGGCATTGATGTGAGTGATTTATATAGTTGTAATAAATATAGAAACAAGCTTCAGTTGTCAGTGACTTGACAGCCGCATCCACAGGTATTTCCAGTCTGTGTCATTCAACCCTTGTTCTGTTTCTCTGATTTTTTTTTTCCATATAAATATTCAGCAAATTGTTCCTGTGGGACCAACTTTGCTGAGGAGAGCTGTGACTACCCGGGAGGTTGGGAGGATTATCACCTTTTTGTGTTTTTGTTTTAGTATCACAGGAGCATCCTAGTAAAGCCCCAGGAAGGAGCAGGACCTGGTTGGGCCCTGTGAACTTGGGGTGTTGTCCAAGATCACTTCGTGGCCGGAGGAGCTGAGGGACACTCTGGTCCCTGGAGGGTGCCCCTGTCCCCTCTGTGGCCCCGGGGATGGCAGAAGTCCCTTGTGAAGAAGGTACAGAGGCACCATCCCCTGCCCCAAGAGCTTCATGCACTGCCCTGCACAGGGTGGGGAATCAAGGTTGGCTCAAGTGTGGCCATCCAGCACTTTCTGGGGTGCCCTGGGTGACCTGGAGTGGGGGCTGGGGCTGAAAACCCCTCTGGACTTGTTCAGATCCTTGAGGCAACACCTTTTCAGGACACCCATAGCCAGCAGGAGCTGGCTGAGGTTGAAGCAGAGCTGAAAAAACCAAGCAAGTCCTGTTTTTTTGAAAGCTGAAATTGTTTTCCTTCCTGCTGCAAACATAAACCTGGCAAAGGAACAATGGCGCCTGGCTGTCCTAGGAGGAAAATATCCCAAATCAGGCCTTTCCCACTCCCCACTTCTGAGTGTGAGTCAGAATTTGATTTGTTTGCACAGGTGGAGACTCGGCTGCTGTGATGGAGCTGCTACAGCAGAGAGCACAGGGAAGGACCAGTAAGCCCTGGTTTGGTTATGAGGATGTTGTTTCAAGATATGGCTCAATGTGTTGGGGCAAGCTAAAATGGTCAAAGGTGTTGTGGGAGAGGGAGTAAGAAATGTCAAAGTGTTTGCAAGTTGAGGGTCGGGGGGATGGTGCCCATTTCATGGTGGAGGGGGGCACAGAGGTGATGCAGGGAGGTTGGCAAGCCTCAAAAATCCTTGGAAGCCGATGATAGCACTGGGATGCCCCCTGGACTGAGCTTGTGCCCTCCTGGGAGCCTCCAGAGTGTTTTGGGGCTGTGTTAGAAGATGTTGAAGTGACCCATAAGGGAAATGTGAGAGCTGGGAGAACAGGGGGTGCTCTTCATGCCCTTCCCATGTGGTTTGTCCCAAGATTTCAGCCTCAGATGCACTAATGACAGAAAGGTCATTTTTGTGGTCACCGTGCTCACCGTGGTGCTGCTTCTCATAGTCACCATCATCACGCTGGCAGGTGAGTGGCTGAGGGTGCCGAAGCCACCCAAAAGTCTCCTTCCTAGAGAAGCCCCCCAGCAAGAGTCACTTGGGCACGTTGTGCTTGTTTGCAGCTAAGAAAGACTCACCCTGCCCAGCTCCCACCCTGCCCAGCTGCCTGGAGAGTGGGATTGGCTTTGGGAACAAGTGCTTTTACTTTCTGGAGGAGGAAGTGGACTGGGAAGGGAGTCAGCACTCCTGCCTCTCCCGCCAAGCCCACCTGGCCACCATCGACACCAGGGACGAGCTGGTAAGAGAAACCCCTGAGGAGGCGGTTTCGAGAGCAGATTTGGAAATTGCAGGAAATTGCCTGAACAGAATAGCATGGAGGTACCTGTGATCCTTGCTTTCCCCACTTCCAGCATTTCCTCCTGCGCTATGGGAACTTCATGGAGTACTGGGTTGGTCTCTGGAGGGAAGGTTCTGGACCTTGGAAATGGCTCAATGGTTCCCTCTTCAATGCCCTGTACGTCCCGTCTTCTGGAGAACAAAACTATGGCCTGGGCTGAGCCGGGGCAGGGGCTAGATGCAGGAAGCACAAGTAGAGATCTGTTGAGGTGGGAGCAATCAAACACTACTTTCCCTGGTTGTGCCAAAGCATTCATACACATCCCATGGATTTTTGAGATGCAAATGCTGATGGGGGCCTGGGGGCATCCCTGGATGAATCCCCTGGGACCAAAAACATGAAAACCATTGAGGAGTGGAAAGTAGTTTGGGTTCTTCATGGGGACTTAGCTGGGAAGGTTGATCCCTGCTCCTGCAGCACTCTTAATCTCTCTGGAAATGGGAATCCCTCCTTTCCCAGCTGTCTCCCATGAGCTCTAACTTTGCTGTTGATCCAGGTTTGACATCCAGGGCAGCGGCCACTGCGCCTACACGAACTCTCACAGGATCAGCAGCGACAGGTGCTCTGAGACTAAATTCTCCATCTGCAGCCACCTGCAGAGACACCCCAATGAAGTCCAGAAGGATACAGAAATCCTGAATTCCACCTGAAACCTCCCTCTTAACAGAGATCCACCACCAGCTGGTGTTAACCCCACACAATGTGGTACTGAGTCTCTGTTGTTTGTACTAGTTTAAATTTTAGCTGGCAAACAACTCACAGGTTGGGATGAGTCTGTTTGCTGAAACTCTGTCAGTTGAGATAAGTATATTTACTAAAGTGAAAATCAATAATTGTGAAAAAAAAATCAATCAAAACCTGCACTCTGGAGCAGGTGATAAAGAGGCAAACTGGGAAAGAGTTGCACGGGAGAAGTCTATGGAGGACTGAATCCATGGAAGGGACCCACCCCTGGAGTCAGGCAAGAACTCCTCTCCCTGTTGGGGAAGCAGCAGTATGAAGTGACCACAACCCCCGCATCCATTGTCCCTGCACCAGTGGTGGGGAGGTGGGAGGGAGTTGGGGATAAAGTAAAGCCTGGGAAGGAGGGAGAGGTGGAGGAAAGGAGTTTTATTAGGATTATTTTTGCGTATAATTTTACCTTTTCTGGGACCCCAAGGGCAACAGCCTGCGCTCAACAGCCCAAACTGCTGGAGAATAGTGGCCCTTGGCCATGCCATGTCCCCTGTCTGTTCCATGTTCCCTGTCTCCTGTGTCCCTTGTCTCTGTGGGGCTGGGGCAGCTGCGAGATCCAGGGCAGCCCTGGGGGGGAACAACCTTGAGCCCAGCTGAGCCAGTTTACTTAATTCCACCCAGAGAGGGCTCAGGTCACTCCCAGAATGGTTCCCAGTCACCCCCAGTATGGTCCCAGTAATTCCCACTATGATCCCAGTCACTCCCAGTATGATACCACTGTGATCCCAGCATAGTCCCAGGGGTTCTCATTCACTCCTAATATGGTTCCGGTCACCTCCAGTATGATTATTCCCACTATGGCTGCAGTCCCACCTAGTATGATTCCAGTATGAAAATGGTCACTCTCAGTGGTCACATCAATGATGCCATTTGTTCCCAGCATGGTCCCAGTTGCTCCCAATAACCCAGTATGCTTCCAGTCACTCCCAGATTCTCCCAGTAGTATTCCAGTAACTCCCTTTAAGGTTGCTTTATGGTCTCAGATATTCCCAGTATATCCCAGTTGCCCCCAGTGTTTCCACTCACTTCCAGTTGCTCTCAGCAGATTGCAGCATGATTCTAGTTGCTCTTAGCCACTCCCAGTCACCTCTAGCATGACTGGTCTTGAGTGTAAAAATACTGCAGTCTGAAAGTTAGACCTGAAGTATTTCCAACAGACTGTGGGACAGCAGCTTTTCTTAGAGGATGTGCAGCATCGCAAAGACTTCATCAGTGTGACTGTGGGTGCTTGGAGCTTTGTCCTGTGCCACTCTGGGATGTCATGAAACAGGACTTCACCTGCCACCAGCCCTGTCACCCGCTGCTACCACAGCTCCTTGGACCTTGTGTCCACAAAACCAGACACAAAGTGTTTCTGCTGCTTCCCTCTTTGCACAAATCCATGGAGAGCTGGGATTTTTCCAAATTCTTCTGTCTCCATTGTTCCTTATTCCTAAAGAACCAGCCCTCCCTCCTGATGAATACTGCAAGTTCCAGGAATGGCCATCAGCTCCCTTTCCTGCCTAGAAATCTTGAAAGTGTTTCTAAATGCTGCTCCCTTCAGCTCTTGGACAGCTATTCTGTACACAGAGCTGGGAAAAAAATCCACTGGTCACCTCTCATCAGGGAAGTGCTGCCAGAGTTAGAGGTGTGTGGGAAATCTCTGTCCCTCCATAGATTTTTCATAGATCTCTGCATGGAGTATGCAGAGATGGTTTTTGAATAGAAAGGATGGAGAGTGCAGACGCTTTGTGTGACACTTTCCGTCTCCGTGTTTGTTCCCTATCCGTGGATACAGAGACATCCAAGAGCCCCTTGCACAGAAAGACCCATCTGCCCCTGGATAAGGAAGTGCAGTGGGGATGGGTGGGCAGTGAGTCCCAGACAGGAGCAAGATCCAGCTCCAGCCCTGCCAGGCCCTGTCAAGGCATGGCGCTGCCTCCTCTGGGATGGGAAAGCCCTTCAGCCTTGTTCCTGCGCAGAAGGGCAGTGCTGGCCTAGCAGCACAGGTTGTTCTCCACACAAGGTTGAGTAGATGAGAACACAACCCTTCCAAATGCTGCCTGGAGCCACAGCTCTGGGTGCTCCCCAGGAACCTCAGTTCTGGCAGCTGCTATGGGACCATCCTCTGCCCCAGGCTGCAGGGGATGCAGAGGGAGCTGGGCTTGGCTCTGCCCTGGGGCCGTCCTGCAGGGAGAACTGCACAAAGGCAGGATTTAGTTCCCACAAACAGCCAAGCCAGGGGTGCAGCTCAGCTGCTCCAGCCCACACTGCTGTGCACTGGGCTTTGGGGCTGTAGCTCCCCACAGAGGGGATGGCACTGCTGGGCCACAGGAGACAAATCAGCTTTAGCCTGAATCTCACTGAGGTAGGGGGGTGGTCTGGGAAGAGTAGGGAGGGTAAAGAGCAGTCATGGAGGTCATCCTGCTAGAGGGACAAGGCAAAAAGAGTGGCAACACAACAGTGAGGACAGTTGAGGGCTGCAGAGCAGCTCTGAATGACATAGTAACCTCCCACAGCACCCCTGAGACATTGCTGTTGTGCAGCCAGGGACAAGCAGAATGGAGTAGCCCAAGCCCTTCCTCTCCTGCAAACCAAAGGAGCCAGTGCGTGGCTTTTGGAGTCCCACTTCTGCTCCCCCATGGGGTTTTGTTTTGGTTGGGCTGTCTGCCCCCCAGCCTAGGGCACAGCAGGTGCTGTTGGCAGGACCAGGAGCTGACTCCCATTTTGTTACATCCCCTGAGCCCTGCCAAAAAGCAGCTTGGCAGCCAACTGAAGAATTTGTTGCATCTGCCCCAGGAAAGGGGGGAACTTTTGATGCCCAGCCAGGCTGTGCCATGCCTGGATTTGGGAACATCCCCCTGTGTGTGGATTCACCTGCAAATTGGGTGTGAAGTGTGTCTTTGAAGAAGGTGCCAGAACTGAAGTCAGTCTTCAGCTTGCCAGTGGTCATGTTAAGGAAAAGATTGTCATCCTTGAGGTCATCCTTGGTGTCTCCAGTAGCAGCATCACCTGGTACAGTTTCTCCAGGGACTCCTTTTCCTTCTCTGGGGGCCAGACCAGGCTGTCAGTGTTCTGTACAGGGCCCTAGATGTCAATTGGACGAGCAGAAAACAGGTTGGATGGAGCTCAATAGTGCTTGGCAGACCAGGTCTCCAGCTCAGCTCCAGCACAAGGGCTGTGTTTTCCCTTCTAATGGTCCCTGCACAGAGCTACAGACAGGAGAAAAACAGTCTGGTTTGTTTTGCCATTGATTGCCAGGAAATGTGTGGAGCTGTTACCTGCTAGGCTCTTGGATCAAACTGTGCACATGTGTGAAAAACACGTTCACTCTCCTGTGAAAATGTAAAAAGTTTAATAAAGGACAATGGGAGACAAGGACCATGGAGCAAAGGTTATTAGGGCCAGGTGCATCTTGGCACTCAGCCAAGAGCACCCTGTCACCTTCAGGGATACCCCTTAAATACCTTTTTCCTTACATCAGCCTGTTGCATATTCATAGACCCTCATGCATAGCAAACTTTCCCCCAAACTAGTTTACATGTTCCAAGAACTGTTTAGCATGGCTCCTCCTTGGATCCACCTTTTTAGAGCATGCAGATTCCTTGGTTGTGGTTTCAGTCCATTCTTATCACCTCCAGTTTTTGGGCCTTGCTCCACTCTGCCTTCAGGCAGCGAGTGCTGATATTTGGCAGATCTGTACAGGTGTCCTCATCCTGTGTTCACTGGATATTATCCCATCCAAGCAGGCATTTTAACACAAGCAGCTATTTCACTAAGCTTAATTAACAACAGAAATAAAAACTATGTCTTTAGACAGAATACACAGAAACCTCCCGTTCTGCTTCCATGATGTGCTCCTGCTCATGGTGCTTCATTTAGCTGGGATTGGATCCCTCAGAATGTAAATGGCATCCTCCTTTTGGGTTTCCATGTCACTGTATTGCTCTAATCTGCATTTGCATGTGCCCCAAGAATCCCCACAGTTTTTGGGATGCAGTATAGATGCAAGCTTCAGAAGCTGGGGATGGGGATCCGTTGAACAGGGCGGGGAGGCCACAGTGTGCGGCAGACACCATACTTGCTCTGGGGGAAGGAGCCGCAGGTGTCGGTCAGACAGCTTGTCCAACATTTGTGGGGAGGACACAGGTGGTTCAGGGAGACCTTGTTCTGCCACAAGGCCAGGTGCAAGTTCTTCCTGTGTATAAGCCTGTCCTGAATTCAGGACACACCAACAGGCGTGATGTGATTGCCTGGCAAGTGATCCAGGATCTGCAAGACCAGGCTGTGAAATACGGCCTTGGCTCTGAGCAAGTTCTGCATGCTCTCAGAGTGATAAACTTGGACCTGCTTGCTCCATTTGATATTAAACATATTGCTCAGGCACTGTTCCAGCCTGTGCAATATGAGGTTTTTTGGACAGCTGGACACAGGCTGCTGCAAAGGTTGCAGCAAGCAACAGGCTTCTGCCTTGGGAAGACCCTAGGTATGGCATGGGGGTGGATGCTCTCCTTGGAGAGCAGGCCATTTCCAGTCCTGATTTTCAGACTACCTGGGACTCTACTGTTCTTGAGCAGTGTCAAAGTGTAGGATTTATTGCGTTGTTGAAGCACGGCCTTCCCCAGGCCACAATTTACAATGATAAGGAGCAGGTTAACCTTTTTTTGCCATTTGCCGAGAAGCTCACTCTTGCCCTGGAGAAACAGGTTGAGGATGATGCCTTAAGGCAGATTTTATGGAAGCAGCTAGCCCGGTTCAACTTGAATAGTCAGTGCTGGAAGATCATAGATGCTCTTCCAGGTGACCCGTTGCTGGCAGACATGGTCAATGCATGTGCCAAGACAGGTGCTGTAAACCACAGGGTGTCTGCTCTGGCAGTTGCTACACAGCCAGGCCACATAGCCTTATGGGGCGGACAACAGAAGAACAAAAATAA